ATTGCCAGTTTTATGGAACAGGCCCCAGGTGTGACTTTAAATGCAGACCTTAAGCCAAAAACTCATCACCAAACACCAATGACTTGCCAAAAGTATTGGGACATTGGGTATTATTATAGACATTTAAAAAAATGACAAAAAACAAAATTACTAAAACTTCAACAAAAATTAAAATGAAAATGGAATATACAAATTACAACTAATTCAAACCATTAATAAAAACTATAATAGCATCTCAGTGATCCTGAAGTAACACTAGTGTGCGATATGTAACGGTAAACATTTCAAACATCCAGTTTTTAAAGGAATGTATTATTATCATACTATATAAAGTATACTCTACTTACTATTTTTCTAAATAGTATGCAATATGCATTGAAAAAAGCTTCAAATAGTAGTATGCAACAACAACATGCTATATAATGGAGAAATAGTATGATAGTATGCTGTTGTGAACATGGGCCAATTCAGTGAGCCATGTCTAGGTTACATTTTTGAAATAAATATATTTTTAAGTTAATTTGAATGTTTAATCCAATTTTGTGTGAAAAGGTCTTTATTTATAGTAGTCCAATTAAACAATGACTCAAAGTTAATAACCTTTCCGAGGACAAAACAAGCACATTGCATTGTGGGATACAGTAGACCATTTTCATCCCCTAAAACAAAAGCAGTATGCAAAGATGTAGACTTAAAATATTAGTGTACTACACTGTTGTAACGTGGCATTGCTATGTTACAAGTATAATTCAGCGAGAGATGTCTAGTAATCCGAATGAAATACTAGCATACTAGCGAATTCTGGCAAATCCGTATGAGTTCATTCATACGTTTTCGTATGACTTGCTTATGCACCATTGCGGGTTGAGTTAATGTGTGCATCTTCATGCTTGATTTTAATTACAAATTGTATATTTTCCTGTGAATCACATTGTACAAATTTGTATGAAATTCATAAAATACTTGCGTTTTTTCGTAAGAACCGGTTGGCATACTCCATGATGTTTTCACCTACCAGTAAAAGTGTAGTACGCACAGCTTCATTTAACACATTTGACCATGTTTCAATTCAATTCTCTCCAAAATCTGCACAGAAAAGGGCAAAAACTGAAATTCTGTTTTAATTTCAAACATATTGTATAACATACAAGTGTTGTGCACTATAACATCGGTATGAAATTGAGTGCAAATTTAATCTGTAAGCCACTGGTAGATACTCACTTCTAATGCTAAATGCAGCTGTGATGGATGGAAGCATCCATGTAATTCTGAGTCAATTCATACGTGGGAGTTTTGATTGCAGATTTGGGATATGAAGTAGTTTGAGTAACTCATATGATACAGATTATGAGGCTCCAGGCACAGCAGCTAAAAGCCATCACAGCTCATTTTTGGTTTCTCCAAGGAAATCACAGCTAATCTTCGGAAAACCAAGTGGGAATAAACGTCCCCAATTATGACTATGGGTGGGTCTGAGACCATGGTTCCTTAAAGATGGAATCATGGACATGGAATGTAGATTTGTTCAGCAGTGATAATCATTACAAAATCAATGTCATAAAAAAAAAAGATCTTTGCATTTTTCGAAGAAAAATTTGCTAAAGAAAAATGCTAAAAAAGGTTATCTGCTTGCTCAAATGTTCTTAAGTAGTTATTACCACAACACTATGCGGTAACTTGTTCTGAGTGGTTGCTAGGTGGCTGTTCTGGCCGGAGTCAGTAAATCCCACCCAAAGTCTCTATGATGGGAATTATGTACTCATTTTATCTTTTAAGTCACTTACAACAAGCCAAAATGATATGATAAGTCATTAATGTTTGTAGCACAAATGCTGTAAAACACTTACACCACTAAGTTTAATACTTAAGGTAGGGTGACCATATTTTAGTTTTCCAAAAAGAGGACAGTAGGGGGTGGGGTTCGTGGGCGGGGACAAGGGCAGGGCTTCACCTAACAGTATACGTAGCTAGGTTTTTTCTTGTTGGTTTGCTTATTTTGTTTTTATAATAAATAAAAAGAAAACAAGTAGAAAGAATAGAAAAATAATAGATAATGCTAGTGTTAGAAGGGGTCATAATTTATAATAAATAAAAAGAAAATAAGTAGAAACAATAGAGAAAGAATAGAGAATGCTAGTGTTAGAGGCTATTTTTTCTTTATAAATAAAACAAGTTAGAATAGAAATAGAATAGAGAGTGCAAATGTTAGAGGGTCAAGTTTTTTAATAAAAAAAAAAAAACAAGCCGATAAAATTAGAAGTAGCATTAGAATAGAGAGTGCTAGAGTTAGAGGGTCAAATGAAGATGAAAGAGATGTGTTTTCAGCCGTTTCTTGAACATATTAAGGACTCATCTGCTTGGATTGAGTTGGGCAGGTCATTCCACCAGGAGGGAACAGTTAATGTAAAAGGCCATGAAAGTTTTATCATAGGTAGAATGCAAAATGTTTCATTTACAAGCATTTCAGTCAAATGCAATTTATGCAATATTTCAAATCTTTAACCCACTTGGGAAAATCAAGGAGACATGACTGACAAGACCATGCTGGAGTATACGCTCAACAGATTCTGAGCTCATTGACAAATATCTGATATTGTAAAATGTGCTCCCTTTACACGGGAGTGCGTGTGAAATCGAAAGTGAAAGTAAACAGTGCAAACGCTCATTCAAAAATATTTAAATACACCGCATCCTGAGAACGGCTCCCTGATGGGCCAAAATTATATACAATATTAGAATGTTTAAAGGAGTGGGCACGAAAATCGCGGGAGCGAAACACGTTGCGGGAGCAGGCGGCAATGGTCAGAGATTCAGCGGAGCGAGATTAAGAAAACGGCCGAATCCCGGAGATTTTGGTCAATTGAGAAATCCCGGCCGGACGCATTTTTATGTCCGGGCCCGGGGAAAAGAGGACATATGTTCACCCTACTTAAGGCCTCTTGCACCAAACTAGTCTATAGACCTAAGAGAAACAAGTGCGCAACCATCTTTATAATTTTGTCTTTGAACTTCCGTTCCGTTTTTGCAGTAGCTCTATAGCATTGCTGTTGAAGAGGAATTAGCTGGTGAAGTGGATTTACTTATTATAGAGGAAACGAATCAAGTGCATTGTAATGCTCAAAGCGGATGTCATAACTGAAGAAGACCGGGAAGATTTTAAAAAGATCGGTTCATTCAAAAACTCGTACGACCTTCTATAGTCTTTGCTTACATTCGTGCTGTGGAAATACAAACGGAGGACAGAAGAACGATTGCAGCGCTGGAAAGGGGAGGAGCTAGATAATCTAATTTAGCGTCTATCAACGCACGCTAACGTTCTGTTTACCATAAGCGCGCGCTGCCGTTTTGTCATCTGCCGCTCTTTAAAGCAGGATGGATTCTGATTAGCTGTCAGTGTTTTCATCATTCATCAGCTCGAAAAGTTGTTTTTAAAGTGATAATGTTGTTCCTTGGTTGTTATCGTAATAGTTGTACTTTTCCTCACTGTCATACATGATTATTAAAACTTAAGTTATTATCGTCCTTGGTTTTAAGTTTGTGACTTTAGTGTTAGCGGTTTGTTCAAATCTCTTCAAGCAATAATGAGGCTTGATTTAGCAATAATCCTATAAATTTGGCTTCCCTCAGGTCCAAATGATTTTCCTGAGTTTCTGCCAGTGCCTTTGTTCAGTTCAGAGATTTGCATTGCTGGAAAACAGTCTTCGTAATGATAAAAGTCTCCTACAGCAGAAGATAGCAAGCTCTTTTGTTTGTGGATGGAACATTATTAAGGAAACCAGGCAAAGGTTGATTTCAGTCCTGTGGAAAGAACAATAGAGTTTGAGTAAAGGACAGCTGGGGAAAAACAGACCGCAGGAGTGAAAGACAGTCGACTGGCGGAGAGATAAAATAGCTTTTAAGTATTTGAACTTGTCCTACTGGCTTTTGTGGATGTACTTAATTCAACTGATCATTGGGAAAAAAACAAATATTAGTTTCTAGACTTTATAACAAAATGAACTCACCGTGGACCCCATTTACTTAAATAAATAGTTCACCCTCTGCAATGAATGGGTGCCGTCAGAATGAGAATCCAAACAGCTGATTAAAACATCACAATAATCCACACAACTGCAGTCAATAATACGAGTTAAGAAGAAATAAGAAAAATGGAATTAATAAATTAACCTACTTTTAAGTCATGCTGCAAAAGGGTCCAAATGATGTCACTTCCTATGCATCACATTTTATGGAATACTCAATAGCAGGATTCATTTTTAGACAATGAATATAGTGATATATCAATTCAACAAACATTTTTTTTATATAATAGCCCTTTTCCACTCAAATCCACATGGATAGAATCTGGTTCACCTACATTTCCACTTAATATTCTGTTTTACTATTGAATTACATTGAGACAAACACAGTTTGATGTGCATTTATACGTGGTATTTTCTTTAATGCCATCTGATCATTTCAACTGTAATAAATAAAGACTGCCACAACAGTGATGGGGGGCGGGACTTCTCACAGTGTCTGGCAGCACTGTGTCAGTCAGAGCCTCAACCGTCCAATCAAGGAGCAGCAGCAATTCCATCATCCAATCAGCATACAAACAAATCACAGCATAGTAAACAGCCATTGATTCTCTTCTACTGGATGAAAAGAAAGCAGAATCAGGTCTATAAGGAACTACATGCAAAATCCAGGCTGTAGTTTTACTCACTTTTGTATTAATCTTAACTGCGTTACCTCTACGAACATCGTGTCTTTACGATCTGTGAAGCTCTGCTTGTTACACAATGCCCATCAATTACAGCATTCAAATGCAACCTGATCTTTCCGAGGGCTTCTTCGAAATTCTAAACGGAACGTGCTAGAAGGTCCTCCAGAGTACTTCATGATGTGCTCCTGATAAAAGTCAAACATCGCTAAATATCCGCTCATTTCTATGGTCACATACAAACAAACATACACTCATATACAAACCACACTTAGTGTCTTGGCCATACAGCCCATAATAGTCTTCATGTGGAGGATTATGAGAAAACAAAAAGAGTCAGGACATCATTGTCAGGCCACAGCCTCTTCTCAGTCACACAGCCGGAGCATCTCGCGGCTCATTTGCTGGGATTCCACATACACGCGTCAAGCCCTCCCAAACACAAGGGGGCGCTACACAGCAAGCGTGTCCGGGATCCAGCGGGCGGGAGGAAAATGAAGGGGGACGGATTCTTCACAGGAGGTCACCAACAGCATCAAACTTCACAGATGACGACTGGAAAATCGACGTGGATACAAGGGTGATCCAACTTGATGATTCCCTATAGAAAAAAAATGTGCAATAAAACATTATCGTTATCGCAGCTTGTCATTCTAATTCAATGTAATTCAAACAAACGTTCGCAAAACACTCCCATGCTGATTTACCTGAGGTATGAGATTCTTGTGGATTCGTTTTAGTTTGGATTTCTTGCGGCCATTTTTCGTTACTACTGTTTCTTCGTAAAACTCGTGGGCCAGGTCTCCATCCTCATCGAAGTACAAAGAGCTTAAAAACATGAATACAAGTTTAAACATACATATGCAAAGTATAATACATTTTACAAGTCTAAAGGCCTGTTCACACCAAGAATGATAACTACATTAGCGTTCACACCAACGCACAATAACATTCTCTTTATTATAATCATGAGCTGTGTTTTTGTCATCTGCCGCTTTAAATGGTTGAGTTCTTAAAAGCAGGATTGATTCTGATTGGCTGTCAATGATTATGTCGTTCATCAGCTGAAAAAAAAAAAAAACTAATTCTGAAAGTGATTCCAACAATTTCGTTCCTCTGTGTCATTATTGTTATAATTATGGTGCCTCGGAGATGTAGAATATTAAAACTTTATAGGTATAGTTATTGCTCTTTGTCTGAAAGGCCTTGATGGGATTTTTTTTTTCATTCATTTTTCAATGTAAACATGCACTAGATGGATGTGTTTTGTATTGCAACATGTGACAACAATTATTTAAAATAGACTTTTATGGAATTAGTTATATTGAAATTTAATTTGTAGAATTTTTTTGCATATATATCATATATATAATAATAAGGTCACTTCATTTTTAAAGAAAATATATAATATAAGTTTAAGATTTGGAGACAAATATTCTATTTTCCCATATAAATAGTACCAACAATGGCATTACAACATTGTGTATTCTACAGAAAATTGTATTCATATATTTTATTTTTTAATTGGTTGTGCATATCAGTTGCCAGACACTTAAACATAAATCAGTTGACCTCTAATGAAAAATCTGTATTTTCTTAATTACATTTTAAAGATTTACTATTAAATAAATAAATGAAAGTGAGCGTTTTAAGTTTTTGTAGTAGTTGCGTACGAGTCCCTCAGTTGTCCTCAGTGTGAAAAGATGGATATCAAAATCATACAGTCATTGTTGCAAAGGGTTCAAATACGCAAAAGATGCTGGAAAACCAAAGAATTTGTGGGACCTGAAGGATTTTTCTGAAGAACAGCAGGCAGTTTAACTGCTCAGGACAAACAAGAGACTACAAATTCAACTACTATTTTCTCTTGTGGACTATATGTTAACATCTTTTATGTGAAATATCTTATTCAGGTCAGTACTAAATACAAAAATTATATGCATTTTTTATGAACCCTCTTATCTTGGTAAAATAATTAACATTTTGCAGATACTACAAATTTTATGTAAAATTTTGTATTGTACATACAGAGAATTTTTGTATTTATTTAGTAAATAGTCATGAAATAAGAGGAGTAATGTATAGTCAGCCGGTCGTTATTGCAAAATAAAACCTGATCACTCTGTCAAGGTTGATTTTGCAATAATGTATCCTAGTTAGTGTACTTTATCCTTTACTTAACACTAAAGGTTCAGTTACCTCAATGACTGTGAACAGTTTGAAAACGTTACTTTCAAACTCAAGAATGTGTGTTTTTCAGATGATCTGTTTCTTGTTGCCAGTGTATCTGGCACGGCGGTCCAGTCATGCTGTCTGAAATTAAGTCACATGCCAGGAGCTGTGGTTATATTTACCTCCTCCTGGTAAACACGAAAGGCGTGGCGTTTCGGATGCTCCGCACCCGGGCCAGGCTCTGCTCTTGGCCGTCTTTAGCAGGTTCATCTCCGCCACCTGAATCTGAGAACGGCCAGTAGCCTTTACCTTTAGACCCACTGCCGCCCATCATGGGCTGCAGAGCATTCTCCTCCTGCTCGGGTCACACTCAGGACGCCCGTACAGCTCTGGAGGACGAAACAATAAACTGTTATTGAACTCATACTGTTAATTATTGACATATTTGATGTCATGAATCTGATAATGTCAGTCATGATGAAATATGGCTACTTTTTATGACATGGGAAACCTGTGAGCTTTGCTTTCCCACTCAAACCTTTTATTAAAGGAAATTCATGCTAAATTGTCTTAAATTCTTAATAATGTGACATTTTACATAATATTTTATGTAACAGAAATTTTCACCTCAGCATTAGCATAGCATTGTAAAACATGACAGATTGTGTTTGACAGCCCAATAACTTAGCAAAAACAAGATTTAAATGTCTTAGACTTAATTCATAAAACAAAAGTGCATGTAAGTATTATATAATATTAAATTTTCTAGTTGTCTAAATTGATGTAGCTTTCATGCTAATACGGCTAACATCATAATGTCCTACAACGTTTGAGTTTATAACATAAAATTATTCACATGTATAGCGATGGCACTTACTTGAATGTAGTCTCCTGATGTTAAATGAAGCAGGGAAGTGGAAATAATGCGAATTAACGCCGGTTTGAACAGATTTATTGAGTGTGTAAAGTCACTCACAAACGAACCGCTGCAGCAGATCAGAGTGAATCCAGACACGCTCAGCCGCTCCGGCCGAAACCGGAAGCTACATGTAGCGCACATCGGTGAGGAGAATGGACAGAATACAAGTTCAGGATTTTATAGAATAAAAGTTTTATTTTTCCTAGTCAAATTTATTATTGTCATGATATTTCATTTTATTGTCGCTTGATTTTTTTTTTTTTAAAGCCATTATATAATCAAAACGAAAGATTTTGAGACTATTTATTTTTACATAAGATAAGCACCCAACAATGGAATCACAACACTATGTATCGAACACAGAAATGTATTGCGTATACTGTGCACATACATTATTGATTTGATTTTTTAAAAGTCAAAACAAGTCAAAACTTATTTTAAAAATGGTTGGGCATATCAGTTATCAAACAATTAAACACAAACAAATGTTAATAAATATGATTGCTTTCTTAATCACGTTAGCACTGTGGAGTATTGAACAGCTGAACTTTTCTCAAATAGAAAATGTCTTGAAAACGAAATGATTTCTCTTTCCATTTATGTAACAGAAGTGCTGCTTTCAGTGCTTAAAGTTTCATCATTATTATTAAATGTAATTAAAGTTATCAAACAATTAAACACAAACAAATGTTAATAAATATGATTGCTTTCTTAATCACGTTAGCACTGTGGAGTATTGAACAGCTGAACTTTTCTCAAATAGAAAATGTCTTGAAAACGAAATTTCTCTTTCCATTTATGTAACAGAAGTGCTGCTTTCAGTGCTTAAAGTTTCATCATTATTAAATGTAATTAATTACATTTATGTTTTTAACTTAATGGTTTAATTGAATGGCTCCTGCACACAACATAAACAGTCATTTTAAAGGGGAAAAATATTTTATTTAATTTCATTTCATTTACAGTGAATATCCAATATATACATGGGTGCTTTAATATCTGAGAAGTATTGTGTCACTAAATGGTGTTATTTAAAATAATCTTTTTTTCCCTATTACATGTATAAATGATGCTAAAAATACTCTATAATCTGCTTTGATGCATTTCATTCACCACAGACCAACAATCTGTGGCTCACACTGGAATGATGTCACTCCACATCTGGATCTACAGCTACGACCGCAGCATTTCTTCCAGTCAGTTTAACGTCACACTCCTCTCACGCTCACCAGTCAAGCTTAAACACACACTACTCCTGTCTCTCACTCTCATTTCCCTTTCGCTTCTGACCCGTCTCACGTCCAGAGCAGGACAAAGGGTTCTTCCACACACTCTTTAGACTCAAACAGTATTTTTCCTTCTTGTTTTCACTGTTTCTGAGGTATAAGCAAGCAGCTTGTTTCAGCCCGGCGTGCTGAAGTTCTTCAGAGCTTCTTTCATCTTGTCTCTGGCCAGAGTGTAGCGCCGCACGATCTGCCGCACGTGATCCTCCTCCTCCCGCTTCAGGATGCGCAGGAAGTTCTGGAGTTCAGGAAAACTGAACGCATCCCACTGCCAGAAGAAACAACATCTTGTTCATCCCTCAAATGTGCGTATATGCCTTTAAAAACTATTTTGCATATTTAAATTGGTATTTTTCCAGAGGACTTCCAGTCAGAAGGTTATTTACTCACATTAACTTCCCCCGTTTCATTCTCTTTAAGGACTAAACTGAGGACTTTCTCATTGGGTCCAGCACACAGGCGCAGGAAAAGCGGATGTTCGTCATCTGCTAACTTCCTTAAGTACACTAAAAAGAGAAAGAAAACATGAAATGTATTATTTGTTAACGATGTATTTATTGTTTCCTGTAAGAATCAATGTAGAGAAGATGTCAGAATAACTAGGAGTGGTCTCCACACCTTGATTCTGTCGTTCACTGCGTTCAAACAGTGAGAACTTGGCCGGATTGTCCACCACAGTGAATTTCTTCAGCAGGGCTTCGATGACCTCTCTGGCCATTTTTTTAAATAAATTATGTATTTTATATATAAGAAATAGTATTCTATATTATTATATTATATAATTATTTTATATTTAAATAAAATAAAATAAAAATTATTTGGTAGAACAAACTGTTTATGTATACATAAAGGATATATATATGGTAATATGTCAAATTACTATATATAATTATAATTTTTTATTATTATATTATAATTTTATATTATATTTTTTATAAACATAAATATACATATATTTTTTATAAATGTTGTTATTATATAAAGCCTTTAAAAACTATTTTGCATATTTAAATTGGTATTTTTCCAGAGGACTTCCAGTCAGAAGGTTATTTACTCACATTAACTTCCCCCGTTTCATTCTCTTTAAGGACTAAACTGAGGACTTTCTCATTGGGTCCAGCACACAGGCGCAGGAAAAGCGGATGTTCGTCATCTGCTAACTTCCTTAAGTACACTAAAAAGAGAAAGAAAACATGAAATGTATTATTTGTTAACGATGTATTTATTGTTTCCTGTAAGAATCAATGTAGAGAAGATGTCAGAATAACTAGGAGTGGTCTCCACACCTTGATTCTGTCGTTCACTGCGTTCAAACAGTGAGAACTTGGCCGGATTGTCCACCACAGTGAATTTCTTCAGCAGGGCTTCGATGACCTCTCTGGCCCGCGTGCTGGAGCTGATGTGCAGGTGTTTGACCGTGTCTCTGGGCAGGTAGAATGAGGTGCGGTGCTTCAGTGTTTTGTCTTCCTGACAACCGCCATCCCGTCCCGAGGAGGAGGAGGAGGACGTGCTCCGTGGAGGAGGGAGAGACACGGGCCGGGCCAGCTTGAACTGGACCTTTATGAAGCCAGTGTAAGATCCATCACGGTTCTGATGGGGAGGACCAGAAACATTTTTACAGTTACACTCTGAAGCTTAGCACTTACAGTAAATACCACAAATATACTGTATATAAGTGTAACTAATATAATACTATGTATATTATATTATATATTATTATATTTATGTATTATTACGATGATTACAATACAAACACCGCAAATAAATATATAATTACTATATATAATTATAATTTTTTATTATTATATTATAATTTTATATTATATTTTTTATAAACATAAATATACATATATTTTTTATAAATGTTGTTATTATATAAACTAATAGATTATATAATAAATTAAAGATTTTATATAATAATAATTTCTAGATTACTAAAATTACTAAAAATTATTAGTCAGATTTTATTTGTTAGAATATATAAATATAATTTGGATAATACTTCACATTTTCAAATTAACAAACGGCAAAAAAACAGTATGATATATTTAGGTAACACTTTATTTTAAGGTGTCCTTGTTACACGTTTCATGTACTTGCTATTACAATAACAATAATTTTGCATAATTACATGCAAGTAACCCTAAAGCACCGTTCACACCAAGAACGATAACTATAAAGATATTAGCGTCCACACCAGCAAACAATATCGTCTGTTTATTCTAAGCGCACACCTGTCTGTCGCTTTAAATTCTCGAGCTTGTGACAGCAGGATGGATTCTGATTGGGCGTCAATGTTTGTATCGTTCATCAGCTGGAACAAATTGCTCTGGATAGTTCCTCTGTGCCTTTATTGTTATAGCTGTGGTGTGGACTCTGCTATTCTTTAACATTGAGAATGATTTTTAGAACTATATTTTTATAGTTTTCTTTAGTTATTGTGCTTGGTGTGAACGGGCCTTAAGCCGAACCCTTATCCTAACCATAACCATATAGTAAGTACATGTAGTTAATTAATATTACTCAGTACTTAAATGTATTATTACACTGGAACAAGGACACCTTCAAATAAAGTGTAACCTAAATTTACATATTTAACATTGAAAGGTTTCTTTACCAGAACCATGAAGAGGTTACTGTTGACCTGAGCATTGTATTCTTTCATTTTCTGTTGTATTTCACTGAGGGACAGCTCCTGTTTCTTGCAGTCCACTGGCTCATCCTGTGGGACAAGAAGACAGTGTGATGCGTCACATGACCACAAGAGGGCGGCACAGAAACCTCTAGAGACTCTGAGACAAGAGACATTGGCTGATGTATTCCTCAAGATATGACATTTACATTTACATTTAGACATTTAGCAGACGCTTTTATCCAAAGCGACTTACAAATGAGGACAATGGAAGCAAGCAAAATCAACAAAAGAGCAATGATATACAAGTGCTATAACAAGTCTCAGTTAGCTAAATGCAGTACACTTAGCAAGTTTTTTTTTTTTATTATATAATAAATAAAAAGAAAAGATAGAATAGAAAAAGAATAGAGCAAGCTAGTGTTAGAGGCCTTTTTTGCTTTTGTTAATTGTATAATAAATAAAAACAAAACAGATAGAATACAAAAAGATTAAGCAAGTGTTATTTTTTTTTAAAGAAAACAAGCAGTAAATGAATAGAGTGCAAGTCAAGGGGCAAGTTTTTTTTTTTAAGAATAGAATTAGAATAGAAAGTGCTAGAGTTAGAGGGTCAAATAAAGATGGAAGAGATGTGTTTTTAGTCGTTTCTTGAAGATGGTTAAGGACTCAGCTGCTCGGATTGAGTTGGGCAGGTCATTCCACCAGGAGGGAACATTTAATGTAAAAGTCAGTGAAAGTGATTTTGTTCCTCTTTGGGATGGCACAATAATACGCCGTTCACTTGCAGAATGCAAGCTTCTAGAGGCACATAAGGTAAAGTGGTGCAGATGTGAAAACTTGATCATTTGTCCTAAACACTGATATTTATGGGTTTTTCTGAGATACAAACCAATAAGGATCAGACTTAGAAGAACTCTGACAAAATCAGTCTGACTTTTATGCAACTTTATTTAACAACAATAGAGCAGAACAATCGTAGTCTGACTCTGAGGCATAAGGTGGGTTTGAAATAGTCTTTCAGATCCAGCTGGATGCCTTTACCCACACTCACAGAGAAAACAACCCTCCCTCAGCCAGAAATAGCAGACAGGAAGTGGAAACACACACACACACACTGTTCCACACTCACTCACTCATACACACACTCACACTGATGTCGACTCTAAATGCTTTCAGATTTCAGTCAGTCCATTATCTCTGAAACTTCACACATATAAAATCTT